ACTATTGGGGAAACCCATTAGTAAACACAGTAATGGGTACACTTATATATTTTTTAATTTGATTTAAAAAATCAAGCTTTTAAGGGTTAAAACACAAATTGAGAGACTCCATTAAGAATGTAATTTAAAAATATCTATCATCATAACTGTCCACTGCGAAACATAAGCCTCCCCATTGGGGGGATTTGCCAGTAGTTGGCAAGCGGATTGGCAACCGCAGTTAGGCTTTAGAGATATTTAAGAGGGCTGCTGCCCATCCCTCGCCCTCCCTTAGTTGCCTCCTACGACACCCACGGGGAAGGAAGGGCTAGATTATTCTATACAGGGACCATACAACCAAAAATCACCATAGAGGGTAACTATCCCACAAACTTTATTTGTAGCGCCCAGTTATATCAAACTTCATGCGGTACCCCGTCGGAAAAAGCTTTCGTAACGCGAAAACTTGTAACGTGGTAGGGGTGGCCCACCCCCGGCGGGGATAGGGGATAGGAGGGGGCGTTCGTTAGCCCAGGTGTGGCGCGCAGGTGTGCGATACAATTTTACTTTCGCACGTAATTGAAGACAACTTGTGTTTCACTTCGATTAGCTTTGAGTAATGACTTACTATGGTCTGAACACTGGTCTTACAAAACTTACTATATCTCACGGGTTTGTCTACGTGAATCAATATACATTTTATGTAAAGTTCGTGTGGTTCCGCCATAGAATGGGCTACCCCTTTCTTTTCCATGAGTGTGGTAAGAAAGGACTAATGGGACTTAATAGTCGGAAGATGGTCGAGAGAGCAGCATCCCCCTTAAAAAGGTTGCCAATTCGCCTGCCAAGCGTAGCAACTACTGGCAAAACCCCCCAATAGGGGGAGACCTGTATTCATCAGTAAATTGTTAACGGCTGTATCATCATCATCCCCATCACCTCATAACCGTACAGTAAATGTATTTATTATGGCTACATTCGTATAGAGTCCAGTAGTTTTGGCGGGAGTTATTCCAAAACAAATTATGATTTGAATTTTCCAGAGGGAGACTTTGTACAAAAGTCGTCTGCTTGGGTACCTCTGTCCCATTATTGTTTCTGCGATGAAGCAGTTGTGTTTGCATGGCCGTCTGAAGAGGGGGATATAGCAATGAAATTACAGGGTACAGAGGCTTAACACCTTAGTCCTCAGCAACGCATGGGGTATCAAATATACTCTGTAATGTCCACTGTACAAGAAAACACCATGGTACTGTTAATATCTATAGGTGACGATTACCACTTTCCATCAGACTGGCCGTCAGCTTTGTAAAAAACAATTATTTATATATTTTGAAGTGTAATTTGGGTATGAACATAATTTTTAAAATTATATATATATATATATATTATATATATATATGTATGTATATGTATATATATATATATATATGTATATGTATATGTATATGTATATGTATATGTATATGTGTATATATATATATATATATATATATATATATATCATGTTATCATTAAGTAGAAAAAACAAACACCATAAAATTATACATACATACATATCTGTCACGCCTGTCTCCCATTAGGTTAGGCAGAAACAATGGAACGCCAAATGCTTCGATACAAACAGACCTCATTAAAAATATACATATTACACATACACGTAATTATGTTTTAAACGTTTAGTTCTGTGAATGTAACATTACAGAACCATTGCAAATGTCTTGTACAAGTATTGCTAGAAATAATGTTAGCATTTAATACAAATAAAGCTAAACACACGAATAACAATAAATATATGCGCCACAAATAACTTGTATACAAGTTATTTGCAAATTTTTCGACTTCAATCTCTTGCAATTTCAGAGCTGTCATATGCGTATACATATTTAGATTACACTTCAGAAACGATTTTGATTATTCTTTTTACAAATCATTATTGTCGCGATAGATAGAAGTTACTGTTTTGCGTAACTTACCAGAAAGGGTACGAAAGTCGTCTACTTGGGTATCGTTGTACCACTCGTGTTTCTCTTGCGAGACAACTATGCTTTCGTAGCTGTGTTTCGGTTTGATGGATGGGTGGTAATCTCGCCTGCGCTAACGGTATACTTTGGCGGGGCATCAGTGAGGGATGATAGCAGTACCGTGGACATAACAGAGTATATTGTTTCGCCCATGATACTCCCCATGCGTTACCATTCCTGAGGACTCAGGTGTTATTCCTCTGTACCCAGTAAATTCACGCCATATCCCACCCTTCAAACTGAAACACAGTTGGGCAAACACAACTGCTGCACGGTTGAAACACGAATGGGACAGAGGTACCCAAGCAATCGACTTTAAGGAAGGTCAGTTAGCCCATCGCGAAGAATACCTGTGGAATTCAGCACGATAGTTTCCAGGGGGTATCGTGTGGGTGTTGATCTGCCAGGATATATTGCTAGCAATTGGACTGGTACACCGCATTACTAACAATTCCTTCCCCCGCTGCCCCTCAATTCATTTATGGTATTATACCTTCGTGTCTTCTTACTCTATAATTGAAATTTCCAAGAGACACCACGGTGCATCAATTGTATTTTTTTGTCTATGGTGCTATTCATGTCTATAGTAGGGGTGGGTAGCGGGGAAATTGATTATTAGTAATACGGACTACCAGTCTCATTGTTAGCAATAAACCCTATCCGGTCGACCTCCACGTGGTTCCCCCTGGAAACCATTGTGAACAATTCTTGTTGAATTCGTCACGATGGACTACCTGACCTGCCTTTTCATTCTCATCTATCATCTCTCACGGGTGTCCCGTCAGTGTATACCGTTAGCGCAGGCGGAGTTACCATTCCATTATCATCCATTGAAAAAATGTAGGGGTGGGTAATATAAAATATAGCAATATCTATATATCTTTCACCAGACTTTGTACAAAAGTTGATTGCTTGGGCACCTCTGTCCCATTCGTGTTTCGACCGTGAAGCAGTTATGTTTGCATGGCTGTGTTTCGGTTTGAAGGGTGGGATATGGCGTGAATTTACTGGGTACAGAGGAATAACACCTGAGCCCTCAGGAATGGCAACGCATGGGGGGTATCATGGGCGAAACAGTATACTCTGTTATATCCATGGTACTGCTCGTGTCTATAGGCGACGGTTACCACTTTCCATCAGGTGGGCCGTCAGCTTGTTTGCCATTCTAAGTTGTATAAAAAATAAAAAAAAAGTGTTGAGTTTCATCAATCTATTTATCTACGTAAAATGACATATAAATAAACAGCGCTTGAAACTGTACGTAGAGTTGTGGAGGCACGCGGCGAGCACACCTGCCTTATGTTTCGCAGCCGCAGACGCCTGCATATCGTCTGTGCTGGCCAGATGAAGCAATTATTTATAAACCACACTAGTAGCTACTCGTATCTAGACACGGTCTGCCATCGGCCTTCTGTTCTCTGTACGTAACAACAAATGTTTAGCTACGTAATGATAAAGATTGTGGCCCACAAAACACCGGATTCATTTGTGGTAAAATCAGGTATCTCAATTTAAAAACTTCAAACCAGTCTTTTAAAAAAAGCGTTCACGCTCACTGTTTTACTTTATCCGAGCAGTAAGTGCTTTATATTATTCTCAATTTCGTGTATAATATAGTATATGTCATATATGTGTAAGTATATTTGTTATTTATATATATTTATTCGTTTATATATGTAATTTTAGTATGTATGTATATCTAATAATTACTAGTACCGCATTCGAGTATTCTGACACTTGCCTATGGTTGACTGGGAGAGAATGCTTTTAGCATTAAGTCCGCCATTTACACATATATGTACTAATGAAAAAATAACAAAAAAAACTGAACAACTGAAGCGATTTTGGTAAAATTTCTACGAGACCAATCTGTAAGTTGATCCAAATATCCAGAAGTATAGGTATACAAAAAAAAGATTTTTTTTAAATCCGTTTTTGAAGTCAGTCGCAAATCAATGACTTTAAAACTTATGAAATTAATACTGATTGTACTAGTGTCTCTTTGAAAAATCTGTTTTTAATGATTTTTAGTGAAACTATTGTCTGTTCCGTGACTTCATCCGTATGAATTAGTATTTAGTATTACATATACTTTACATTAGGATGTAAAGTATATGTTGTGCTTTTTAATGGACGATAATAAAGCACGTTAGGGTTGTCTTTCTCTAGAAATCTGTCCGATTCTAGAATAAGGGCATACGACTACGCGACCCCGGCCTCCCGAGCCGCTGTAGTGTCCTAGTCCTTTCCGCAGGGGGGAAAGAGATTGTTAGTAATGGAGATTGAGAATCCCATTGCTAGCAATATACCCAACCAGGTCGACCTCCTCGCGGTTCCCCCTGGAAACTATCATGGTTAATTCCTGATGAATTCATCATGATGGGCTAACTGGTCTGTTTTCATTCTCATCTATCACCCTTCACTGGTGCTCCGTCAACGTATCCCATTAGCGCAACTGTAGTGTCCCCCCCACCCCCCAATTACCATTTTCCTTAACGAATTTCCAACGTTCCTTTCCTTTTTTCCTCAATTCTTTCCTCCATACCATAGGTGGCGGAAATCACCAAAAATGCATTCCCAAAGAGGGTTGACATCAGGCAGGCAGCCGGTCGTGAAACTATAAACGAAATGAGGGTGGAATGTTACGTTCATCACAACGGTAACACTGGACAAATACGTCTAGTTGGGGGGGAAGGGATTGTTAATAATGCGGTACCAGTCCCATTGCTAGCAATATACCCTGTCAGGTTGACCTCCACGTGGGCCCCCTGGAAACCATCGCGCTGAATTCTAGGTGTATTCATCACGATGGGCAAACTGACCTGCTTTCATTCTCACCAATCATCCCTCACTGGTGCCCCGCAAGCGTATATCGATAGCACAGACGGGGTTACCATTCCATTGTCATCTATTAAAAAAAATGCGTCTGGCTACCCCATTAGGGATTGTAGTCGTGAACATATTGTTTATGTACTCAAATATTTTTATTCGTTACAGATGGAAGCGAAGGTGAAGGAGGAGTTACCGGACAAAGACTACACGCAGCCTACGACCACTGATAGGCGAAAATGTAAGTCGATTGTTTCTTCGAAGTCGGTTAAAGGATAACCGACTTCGAAAAAGAAGGAGGATGAGATCCTTATTAATGATAATATAATAAATGACTTGATCCACAAATTTAAAGGAGTTCTTAATTTATTCGGATATAAAATATGTTCTTACAAATGAACCTATTCTATTCTATGTCAGGATCATACGGTAATTTTTTTTTTGATGGATGGAAAATGGTATAGTAACCCCGCCTGCGCTAACGGGATACGCTGGCGGAGCACCAGTGAAGGGTGATAGGTGAGAATGAAAACAGGCCAGTTAGCCCATCATGATGAATTCATCAGGAATTAACCTGGATAGTTTCCAGGGGGAACCGCGAGGAGGTCGACCTGGTTGGGTATATCGCTAGCAATGGGATTCTCAGTCTCCATTACTAACAATCCCTTTCCCCCCACACGGCAATATTATGCAATGTGCTCCCGGCATAGAATTGGCCACCTCTTCCTTTTCCGTGGATGTCGTAAGAGGCGACTAAGGGAAGGCGAGGGATGGGCAGCAGCGCCTCTCTTAAAACAATCTCCAAAGCCTAACTACAGTTGCCAATCCGTCTGCGAAGCGTGGCAACTACTGGCAAAACCCCCCAAGGGTGAGGCTTATTTTTTTTTTAATATTTTTATATTACTTAGAATGGCAAACAAGCTGACGGCCCACCTGATGGAAAGTGGTAACCGTCGCCTATAGACATGAGCAGTACCATGGACATAACAGAGTATACTGTTTCGCCCATGATACCTTTCCATGCGTTGCCATTCCTGAGGACTCAGGTGTTATTCCTCTGTACCCAGTAAATTCACTGCCATATCCCACCCTTCAAACCGAAACACGGCCATGCAAACACAACTGCTTCACGGGATAAATGTACTCATGCACAAGATTCACTTCAATACAAAATCTCCCCATTTTCGTTTCAATACAAGTTAAAATTCAATTCCAATATACAGGCTGTTCCGAACGTAACTTTTCTTTGCGCCACGCCTTTATGTACATGTGGATACATAGTAAGCAAGCAATAGAGCCCGAAAAAGCATTTGTAGGTTGGTGTGAACGCTAACAACTGTCGAACGATCATAATCTGACGATAGCGGGGCGAGGCACGGCGTGTTTCGCTCTACATGGCTCTTACAAGCACTGGAATGGATAGCTATACCAATATATATCAGGTTATGGAATGAGCTCCCTGCCGAGGTTTTCCCAAGAGACTACAGCATGGGGTTCTTCAAAAGGGGGGTAAAGAGGTTTCTTCAGGGTCGGCAACGCGCGCGTAATACCTCTGGTATTGCAGGTGTTCATAGGCTACGGTAACCACTTGCCATCAGGTGGGTCGTATGCTTGTTTGCCACCTCAGTGGTATAAAAAATATATATAGATATTAGATTTTTTAATTGATGATAATGGAATGGTAGCTCCGCCTGCGCTAATGGTATGCGCTGGCGGATGGTAATAGGTCTGTTAGCCCACCGTGATGAATACACCAGAAATTCAGCACGATAGTTTCCAGGGGGCACCACGTGGAGGTCGACCTGACAGGGAGTATTGCCAGCAATGGGGAATCTAGACCCTATTATTAACAATCCCTTCTCCCCCAGATATTAGATATTGTAGTGCAAAAATTTTAATGTTTTATCTATATATATATAAAAATTAATGCCACTTTTCGTTGTAATTTTATAACTCAAGATCGTGCTCACCTATCCAAACCAAATGTTTAGGCTTTGTTCGGACTATTTAGTAGATGGTTTATGTGAAGTTTGTACAAAATCGGTCGAGCGGTTCTTCATTTATCACATTTTTTTGTAACAAATGAATTCAATAAATGGCGGAACAATTTGTTAATGGGGATTTTTGTGTCAAATTCAAACTTTTTTTAAGATGGGGATTGTGCTGTCAAATTGAAACTGTTTTCAGTGTTGACAGAGCAAGCATGTTATTATGTCATTCATGCTATCATTTCATTTTGGCCGTGCTTCGATTAAACCAAATCGTCAGCGATATTGATGTTAATTTTTTTTTTATTATTACACTTTATACGTAGCGAAGCGCGTACCGGGCCGCTAGTTACATATATATTTATTTATATATAATTAACGCTCCATATAAGCAACTCATTTGGATCACTTTTAATAAAAAAACTTTCTTATTGGGAAATGTTGCTTATAGGGAAAAAAGAGTATAAAAATAGGTACTGGTCTGGAAAATATTTTTAATGTAATGTTTTTTTTATTTAATGTATTTTTTTATGTATAATTAAAAGAATAGCATTCTGCATTCCTTCTCTAAATGAACTATAAGTGTGTCAAATTTCATACCCCTCCGTCGGCGCAATTTTCGTATAAAGGGGTACAAAGTTTTTGCTTCACGTATTAATATGTAAATAAATAAGTAAACAAAGTTACTTTCTTTTTTTGTTATTATATAACTTAGAATGGCAAACAAGCTAACGGCCCACCTGATGGAAAGTGGTAACCGTCGCCTATAGACATGAGCAGTACCATGGACATAACAGAGTATACTGTTTCGCCCATAATACCGCCCATGCGTTGCCATTCCTGAGGACTCAGGTGTTATTCCTCTGCACCCTGTAAATTCACGCCATATCCCACCCTTCAAACCGAAACACAGCCATGCAAACACAATTGCTTCCCGGTAGAAACACGAATGGGACAGAGGTATCAAAGCAATCGACTTTTGTAAATTAAACATTAAACTACCTCTAGATTTACACTTTTTAGTACTTTTTTACGAGAAGAAAATAGAAATGTAACCAGAGTTATTTTTTACGTTGCCGGGGTACAACTGAATGATGATAAATGAAGATAAAAGGGGATCTACACTGCACCCATATTCGTCTATGACGCTGTTCTAACCCATAAGTTACGGCCGCCATTTTCCATTGGACGGGCCATTCGTTTGCCTGTAGAATGAAAATATAGGTTCATTGCGACCTCTTCTTTCGAAGTCGGTTGCAAAGGGGTTAACCATGATATCCAGCTGAGCTACATAAATATCTCAATTTGTGTGAACCCGTGCAACTGTTGAGCGACCATAATCTGGCGATAACGTAGCGAGGCACGGACCTATGTGGCTTTACGCATAACTTTAACGGGCTGGAATAATTTTGCAATTATTAAAAAAAAAAATCGATGTTCGATTCGAATCCGGTTACTGTCCTACGAACAAGGAATTACATAGAAGGAATGATAAAATAAAAACTGTGAATCATATGGTTGCCTCCTTTCTTCTTATGCAAATATAATTAGTAAAAAGAGGACGAAAGATACACCGTCAGTTGTTATTTTTCTCAATTCATAGCAGGCTAGTGTATAGAAAATGTTTGATATGTCACTTATTTGTCAATGACAAATTTTACATTACTAGATTATATATTCGACACAGTTTATGTTGAAAGTATGCAAGCAGGTTGCATCTGAATTTGGTAGGGTTATACGGCCGTATAACATTTTCTGTACACTAACCTGCTATGAATTGTCAATTTTATCACTTCCTCTATGTAATTCTTAGGTCACTGTCATTAAGAAATTGTATATTGAGCAAACTCTCAAATATCTTGTTGTTCGTGATACTGTTCATGTCTATATGTAACAGGTGGGTCGTTAACTTGTTTGCCATTCTAAGTTGCATTAAAATATATATATATATATATATATATATATATATATATATATATATATATATATATATATATATATATATATATAAAAAAGAAGAACAAAGCTATATATATTGTCAAGTTTAGAGACCACAGATAAAATTTCCCGCGCTTAATTGTCACTTCTTTATTATCTATGTCTGTACAACGATTGTAAAACGAATAGGTATTTACCGAAGGCTAATGTATAAATTCTGAGTATTTGAAACCCTGAACATATTTATTCTATCGTTTTATATGGTAAAAAATTGAATTTTTAGATGTGTATCGATTGTAAACAATGCTTTTATACGGCCCTTAATTATTTTATAATTAAAACTCAGGTGAATACAATGTTTGTATGGTAGCAGTTATGTTTATACTAACTTCTCATTCTGGTTTTAGCACAAACTTTATTGTAATATAGACATGAATGTAGAAATGACCATAGATTATGTTTACTATACCATATTATATTATCTGTGACTATACTGTTGGAATACGGGTGCTTCTCTTTCATTATCTGTGATCAGCAAAGCTTGTTTGCTATTGCAGATTTTATAAAAAAAATAGTCATTCTATTTTCAAAACTTTTCCATGAAATGAAATTCCGAAATTTCGGACTCAATTTCGTGTTTTTGTCTATATTGGATAATAAATGATATTTCGTTCGTCATACATATCATAAAAGTGCAAAGGAACAATATTTTAACATTTTTAATATTTCCAAACGGCATGTATTATGAAATTTTAACATCAAATTTCTGTTTCGTTTGGCTCCGAAATTTCGGAAAACATTTCATGGTAGGCCCTCTGATGGTAAGTGACTACCGCCTCCCATGATCACTCACAACAACGGAATTACACGTGTAGGGTAGGGCGGGGCTAAAAGGTCCATTTTGCGTATATTGTGTCATAACTACGTACGTTTAAGGTTCCTGGGAAAGACTTTAATAATAATAGAAAGTTTAATCCTTCATCTATAAGTTGCCATAGGTGAATACGGCCAGAATTTACCAATGCGCCCAATATGGGCGATACAAAATGTAATGTCAAATGGTCCTTTTTACCCCGCAGGTGGGGTAAAAAGGACCAGTCTTGGGGTAAAAAGAACCACGACAACTAAATCATATTTTGTGGTCAAATGTAGGAAATAAATAAAAATAAATAATCTTTATATTTATTATATTTTAATCGACAGATATGTTGCGACCTATTTTGCACTGGTAACTAAGTTATATAATTATAAGGCACAGTTATAATCAGTCTTAATAACAAATCTTTAGGTCTTTGGTCTTTTTGATCTTGATAAA